TTAGTATATCAATGTATCATTCATTTCATCAATTCATAGAAAAATTGATAACTGGAACATTTACCCATTCGCTGGATGCAGAAAAATATTGTTTGTCGTTCCTCATAGAATCCATTCTGCATCTGAATGACACACTTGATGATATGGAAGCCTCACTCGCGACCAATAATTCCAACACAAAGGTGCCAACCGAAGCACCTCTCGTTTACGTAACAGATGTTGATCGCCATAAGGTTTGTGAACGTCACTTTCAGGGGAAGCCAAACACTCTAAGAAGAAAGCTTGAACTGTGCGTCCGCGAGAAAGGCACTTCGTTTGTCAACCACCATCAGAACGTCCCGTATATCTTCTTGTGCTATAACGACTGCTCAACAAACATGCAGTTTGCAGCTCATGTTCATGTTCTTTTGTGCAAACTGCGGCTCTGCAAACACGTTGTTGTGTACATGAAACATCTACTGCTCACACGTATCCATTCTTTGCGTTATGGCTATGTGGATGAATATGCCATGCACCAAATGATTATGACTCGAGTCCCTCACTCTCATTGTTTGTCAATGAGAGAAATTACGCAAAAAAATACCGCATCACTTCGAAAGTCCCGTTCTTACTCTGTGGATGACTTGGACCTTCAAAAATGGAATTTGCAAAAGTACAATAACTTTCAACACTATGAGAAAAATGTAATTCTATTGGCAACTTGACCACGTGCATCGGTTTGTTTTTCGTTCTTTACAGACCCTCAAACTAGTCACCACCGGTGAAGACGCTACCCATAATGACGAAATTTTTTCTGAATATTAACTCTCAACTCTTTTAATGGCTCCATATGCTCTTCACAGTCACTTATAAAGGCCCTAAAACTCACAGTATTTTAAGACCCTGAATAAAATTTGCATGACACAATCTCATCTTGCATCTGGAGAGCCAGGCGGCATAATGTTCGGTGAACGAACTGATGGCAAGAAATTTCATGTGAAAAATTATTAAAATTTTTAATTCGTCGAATACTTTGTACTAGTAGTTATGGTAATTGAAGTAATGTGGATTTTGAAAATTCCATCTCGTCAATTTCGATTAATGTTCTTCATCACCTTCAAAAAGTAAAATAATCTACTGTAAAGGTTATATAAAAATTATAAAGACAATAATATATATAATAATGAAATGATAATGTAACTAAATTGTAACTGACCACAGCTCTGCCAGGCCATATAAACTGATAATTAATTCAAGGCAGATTCCTGCTCCTGCAAGTTATCATCCTAAAGTAAAAGTCAAACAAGATTATATTGATGCTATATATAATGTTGGTCTCTAATCGTGGCTGACAACGCTCGCACTTTGTTTCATCGACAATTTGTGATAAATTATCACTTAGCTAACACTTGAAACATTATAGCGATATAAATTGATAAAAATTAAGGCTTGAATACGCATTTCGCCTTTCCTTTGAAAATTCATCTTTATATTTAGAAATATTTTAATCATATTCAAAGAGATTTTAACAGCTTACTTTTCGACTCCGATTGCATTTTTTGCAACAAATGCATGTTTTGAAACCAGAATTATATAATAAGCTTATTTTTATACTCCGTGAGGTTAAAAATGGCGAGCAACGGCGTTTCGTAATAACTACACATCATCTGATTTAACCTCACAATCAAGCCTACAATTTTTTATGATCTATATCTTCTCCCTGAGGCACGTGTATTAATTGGATTGAAGAAACCATGACCCTATAAAATCTTTCATCCTTGTTCGATGGAATTTAATTTCAACTACATAAAAAAGCGCTTGCTTCAATATCAAGCGACCAAATACATAGCAAACATTTAAACAAATATTCTGAACAGAACAAACAGTAGAGTTCCAGGGTACTTGATTTCCTAAGCAAACTATGAAAAAACTCGGTCAAGGTTCATGTTTTTGTCCGCGGGCGTGTATGGACATCGCACACGTTACGAATAAGACACAACTTCATGTTTAGTTTTAATGTTGACTTTGAAAAGATGATTAAGACTGTGCTTAATACAATCAAATTACATTAATGTTATAAACATGTAGTAAAACATGTAGTAAACATATTACAAGTAAATTCCTATAAAATCTGGAATTCCTTTTTTAACACGTTTGATTTTCATGCTTGAATCTAGAACAATATTAGCAGACCGAACCCCATGCAATTGAATCTGGAAAATATAATATAAGTCAACACGATAATAAATATTAAAAGAGTATAAACACTGTCGGACACATGTCGATCTACGAATCAATAAACGTCTTATTACTATCATTTAGCGTAGCAATACCTTATTTTAAAATAATAATACATTTTTATAAGCTCTAAAAAAATTCCCCAAGAGGTGTGAAGTGGCAAACAGCTCAATAAGTCTTAAAACCATTCGTTAAGAGATAAGCTACAAGAGATCAATATCCCCTTAAGATGTAAGCAGCTCGTGAAGTGGTAAATATTACGTGAAGAGGTAAATATTATGCGAAGAGGTAAGCAGCTCGTGAAGTGGTAAATATTATGCGAAGAGGTAAGCAGCTCGTGAAGTGGTAAACATTATGTGAAGTGGTAAATATTACGTGAAGAGGTAAGCAATTCGCTCGAGAAATGGATAAACCTCTGGGAAATTATGCGTAAAGAATTAAACAGTTCCAAAATATAAATTTACACCCTATAAGTAAGATCAATTCATTTGGAATGCAGGAGCCAGATATCCTGGTCGTTCTAATTTGTAATCGATCAATGCACAATCACGCTCTTCAGCGATAAGCCAGGCAATACTCACGGCACTTTTGATCAATGATAAACTGATTATGAATAATGACTAACAGGCCGATAAATAACTACTGTATAAGTGATGCAATAATTTAATCATTGTAAAGGATGAATGGTATGATGACGAAGGGTACAGTTATTTATACCATAATTACCATTTTAAATTAGGACCGGATATCGATGTTTTTTCTAAAAAAGCTAGTTTAACTGGATAAAAAAATTATTTCCGCCATTTCTGGAGCAGAATAATATAATGCAGATTATTCACCACCCTGAAGAACAGAGTACATGCTGACATGAGTTGTCAATGGAAACTCAATGAAATGTGAAAGGCTTTGTCCAATTAGCTACCTACTTTTTATCCTTGTATGAATTATCCGACCCAGTTTGGCTAAAAAAAAGCGTATTCGTGCATCGTGCAGGAAAAATTCACTATTTCTGCAATACAACACATTTATTTTCCTGAGTAAAATCTCAAAAATAGTGCTCAAATTTTCAGTGCATTTTTAATACAATTTTACTCAGTGCTTCGATTCTCTTTTTGGACGCATAACAATTTTCGATCTTTTAATTTAATTTTCTTTGCACGCATGAATACGCAGAACAATTTAATTCAGTAATAAAAAATATTATCATACAATCGTCTTCTACTACCTTAGCTTGCAAGGTAATTTGCGGCATAAATACATTCAAATGTGTGTTATACGTGACACTGACTTAACATTCCACTAAAATACCTTAGGTTACGACACCAGCAAGCACAAATTTATGGTAAAAGTATACCTGCAAAATATTTTTTACTGCTAAACTGCAAGCCTTGATTAAAACTTCCTTAACCTGCTGTCAGATATTGTACCTGTTTGGTAACACGCAATATATATTTATAGCCTTGTAATTTTCCGTTATAATTACAATTTGAAGTAAAGGGTATATAAAATATATTCATCATAAAAAGAACGATATCCCAATTTTCTTGACAGCTTTACAGCAATTATGTAGAAAAATACGCTATTTGCTGCAGATATGGGAGTAATGAAGTTAATATTCAGACCATTAAATTATTATTTTGTTTAGTCTTCATCATGTGATCTTGCTCTATTCACATACAGCCACAAACAGAGATTAATATTTCAAATAAATGGGCGTAATTAAATGCGTAAATAAATATTTTTGGTGGTGTTATGAAATATTTTCAAAAATATATAGATTGTTAGTATATTTACAGACTCATAAAAGCTATGCAATCGTAGACACAAATGAAGTGCACGATATGCGTGTTATCCTCCCTCTCCATATCAACGGTGCTTGGATCCCTGGACTGTGATTGGTCCGATTGCCTGTTGATTACGAGTGGCGGTAGCAAAGCTAAAGTTTGTTGTTCCTGTTCTACAGGACGGCATTTCAAAAACAGGGCAGTAGATAAAATGTACGGTAATAGACTATGTATATCCGTGTATGATCTGGCATTAAGTTGAACTTCAGGAAACACTTGGAAACAAAATTCATGTGGAAACGTGGATACCAAATGCAAAAGGTTGCATATTCACGATAAAAAACGCAAACGTTCATGAGCTAAAATATCTGTAAATTTTTCCTCTAACTCGGCTTAACTAGACATGTTATGCCGTATTATGCCGTCGTATCTCACCCCGCTAAACTGATTAAATTCCAGGAGCTATTTAGCTTCAGTATTAGATTTGAAAAAATAAAGTTAGTTCGTTTATAGAAGTATTGAAGTTAGTATATTCAACGAGCATTTGGGCCAGTGCACTTTAGATAAATTATCTTACATTGTTAAGTTAAGCCAATATATGACCTTCCTACGCGAAAATTTTGCATTTTCGATTTTTACCAATGGTATTTTTCGAACATGAAATCGAAACCATAGAATCATCAAGATATTGTACTCATAGTACAATATCTATTGCAAATATTTACTTTTTACCTTAAATTTCCATTGAAGCGCAACGATCTGTATATTGAATGAAATTTTTGACAATCCTACAGTTCACTAATTTCTAAATGTTGAATCGGTTTAATCAAGCATAATCGGAATTCATTTTTGTTACACGTTCAGAGAATAACATCACACTAAAAATGCATGCCCATTACAGAATTTGCATGATGTCAAACGATCCTCCTTCTATAAAGTTAGATAATTAATGGTAATATGAATGATTACAAGTGTTCGTAATAACAAATTAAATCCCACCTTCAAAATGCGTTGATCAGAAGTGAAGGTAGCGATGCCGGCCCTGACCCTGTTCCTGACGCCCCTAACAGTTCCTTTCTGGCTGCGGATAGTCGAAAGTTGCTGGGGGCTGAAGATGTCACGAATTCCGGCAAATGCCACGCCTGCGTCTTGTTCCTCGTGTTCAAATAACCCGGCCATGCACGAAGACGTAACAGAACCCAGTGACGAATCTTCGCAGCTGAGGGACGAGCGAGTCCCATGAACACGTTCATCCTCACCTTCGTCCTCTTCTAGGATTAACGAAGGCGTCGACGGGAATAAGGAAGCCGTTGATAATAACGTCGAGTGTGGTGGCTGAGAATGGGTCATGCGTGTGTGAGTTATAGGCCTTCCTCTGATGGTCAGGCCACGCATCTTGTTTATGCTGGAAGCTTCGATCTTAGCCGCTCTCTGACGACGCTTCTCAAACTGTCGTGCGCGTTCACAAATCTGCTTGAAAAGTACCGTAGGCAGAGAAGGTTTATTTATGTGCAAAGGACGCTTGCGGTTCTTGGGTGGAAGTTTCGGGACATTTTGCTGTGTGTTTTTCAGAATCTCTTGGAACTTTTGGGTCTCCGCAGAAAACTTGTGAAGAGACTCTGATGAACCGCAACTGTCTTCTGATTCTGATGGTCCAATGGATGAATTGAGCGAAGGAGATTCTCGTGGAGAAGGAGAATCTCGCTCTGAACTCACTCCAGAATCTCCTACTTCCGACTGGACAGAGAATGCACTTCTAGCAGAATGGAAGCTTTTCACGGATGGAGATGGAGAAATACTCCGAGAATCGCTGTCGCTCCAAGTGTGTTTAAGAAATTTGCGATCTTCACCTCCCGACTTGTGTCGATTATCGCGAACATGGCGGTTATCGAGAACCTCCAGCGGCTGACTTCGCTGGTTGATCACTGGGGCCATTATTGTTAAACTAAATTCTATTGTTTCTTGAATTATCACACCTTATTGAAGTCAATAAAATTGTAGAACTTTCACTGTACAAAATTTGAGTTTTTTCTTTTGTGTGTTTTTAATCAAAATCAGAGAAATATATTATTCCCAGAGCATTTTCAACATATTTCCTCGTCAACAAATGCCAACATGAATCATTATAATTTCTCTTCGTCAGTTAGTGTTCATTTACCCGAGTAAAATGTTTATGCAAAACGATTTTTTCTCATGAATACAAAAATCGAAATAAAATTAGTTATTTAATCTCTGGAAAATATGAGCCTGTTTATAATGCAATGTATTTTTAAAAGCACTTTGCTCTAAGGCGCTCATGAATGAACCGCAAGTCGACACTGCTTCTATGGCGATATAATTTGTTCACCAAAAAAATTTGCTCAATAAAGTAATTTCAATAAATATCGTTTTACGATTAAAAAATAATAGAGAGGTTCCAAATTTAGGTCATTAATTGATACCAGTATTTTTAAATGAAAAATTATCTACTAAAGTCAATCTTCTCAATAATAGCGGTTAATATTTTTCTAATCCCACTGCAATGAAAGATTTATCTTGAATTTTAAATATAGTTCTCTTGCGACGCTTTCTCGAAATCCCTGGAGGGTGGCCACACTAAGCAAGCAGCGCCGGCACACATCCACCACCTCTGGACTCACAACGCACACTGACGCGGCCGGCGTCAGGAGCCCTGAGGTAAGTAACGTCGTGGGCACTCGGTGACAACAGCGGCAAAACCTATAAAAAGAAGTACTCTAAAATGTCCGTTTATTAATCACATGAATGAAGATTAGTAATGTCATGAGTAATAAGTGATGTAAGTATAAATACGTATATTGATAGGAACCATTCAATTAATATATTCCTCAACGTTTCGTATTGTGAAAAAGTTTTCAGTTGCAAGATGCTTACATAACTCCCTTGAAGCTAAAATATCGTTTCTTCGAAAAGCATGTATGAATGCATATAATGTGTAATATAATTCAAATTTGTATACAAGTAAGAAATTTTCACGAATTAAACATATGAAACTCAACATTATACCAGCCAGTCGCAACACTGATACCACTGATAGAGAATGGCGAATACCCAATAAAAATATCTTACTAAAAGTACTTTATCGTCCAGCTTTGGAATATCGTAATAAAATTTGATTTTCAAATATGTGTTGCTGCTGATACTCGCTGGTCCATCTTGATCAATTTTTAATAAACCTTAGCATCACGTTAAACCTAATTCATCACGATTAGTCATTGCTTTAACCAAATAATCAGTCAATTAAATTTATTAAGAATAAACTTCATTAAAATATAATCAAAATTTACACCAAGCACCGGAGCATCATTAGATTATCGCCTTTTTTCAATATAAATAATTTCTGCTTATATCATATCAATATATGTTATTCTTTATTAGCATGCATTTTAAGTTATTATATCCCTTATTAGTTGCACGAATTATTTAGTGTTATATTTATGTAAATAAAATTTTTATAATGTAAAAGTCTTTATGAATCATTCAATCGCGTGTGAATGTAATGGGGATTACCTTTTTTAAGGTTAAATTAATTGTATAGCTTTTCAAAAAGTTAACCCTTGTGAGGTTAATTTGAAAATTTGGTCAAAACATAATATTGATAATCTAGAATGTTATATTTTTGAGGAAAATACTGAGTTAAAACACAAAAAAAAAAAAACACGAAAATATGTCGATCTTTTGGGTCACATTCCTTAATTTTTCTCCAATTATTCAGTCGAACGTAAAATTTGTAAACAAATATTGAAGCGTCAATGTCATTCAATTAGTATCTTTAGACATACTCGTATGTCGTATCATATACAATATTATACATTATTTTCACTTATTTGCCATATATATGTAAATGCTGCATATAAACCGTTGCAGAATTTACAGTATGTATACCTTATGGTTTAAGTCATACTTTTTTTAATGTTAAATTATCTGGTCTGTTTTTAATCTAGCGCCAAGGTCTGTTTGCACCGTACAACAATTTGGTCTATTCTTAATCTTGCGTTAAGGTCTGTTAAGATCGTTCAACTATTTGGTCTGTTCGTGATCGAGAGCTTGAGGTGTAGTTGCACTGGTCAAAAATTTTGTCGATTGGTGATTGAAAGCTAAGATCTAACTGTACTGTTCATCCTTATGGTCTGTTTTTAATCCAGCACTAAGGTCTATGTATACTTTTCAACGATGTTGACTCTTTGTGATCTAATAGAAAGGTCTGTTTGTACTGTACAACGTAATGGTCTGTTGGTGCTGGTCTATTTAAGTTTGATCGTGTAGATCGACTGGCAGAATACCTTCCACAACGATGTGGTCTATTTGAGCTAGACGTTCTATTAGCCAAGGCCTATTCGTAAAAAGCTTGCCGTTATGGTTCTCAGGAATATTCAAGCTTAGCATAGCAAGACTTGCTTCAAAGTTCATGAAGCAAACTTCTCTAACGTGTGCTCTTCTCCCGCGCCATTAAATAGCATTTAAATTGTCGAGTCATCGATCAAAAATTTTCGCTGATCCGAGGACGTACGTAAATTCGCATTCGAGACTCCAGATTTTGTTCACAAGCAGAAATATCTTGCCAGGCTTAATTTCACTCCGATGCTCTTTAACTTTATACTTATTCTCTCTGATTTTTTTAAGGCTTGACATTTTCTAACCGTAAATATTGATAAAAGTTTCATCTTTTTGTTCAGTTGCATGGCAGGCAAAAAATTTTAATAAATGAAGGCTGTCAAATGGCATTCGTCAGCAGCAAGTAAATTAGCAAAGAGCGTTTTTTCAGTATGACATTTTCAGTAGAACTTTTGTGACATTTTAAAAATTTTGTTCTAATCTTTTGATTAAAAATATCGAAATTGGCAACGATTAATTCGTCTAACTAACTTTGTTTATTAGATATAATGCGAAGCCTGTCAGTTTTCAAACAAACATTACTGTAAAGTTTTATTTTCTAATTCGTAAACATCGAAACTCCATCTTGTTTTTCAAACTTGAACGACATTATTCATTGCCATTTCACATGATATACTAGCAATTTGAGTGGGAATAAACCACTCAAATTTTAAACTGAAATTTTTCAGTGTTAATTTAAAAACTATCCTTAGTAAACTTAATTTTTATGATTTTTAGAAATTGCGAAACATATATAAAAGCACATAAGCAACAATTTTTCTAGAGCTCAAAAACAGTTCAGAAAATAAAAGTTCCATGACATCTTATTTTGATCTCACGTCACGTACGACGGTAAAAAGCATATGTGATTTCTTCGATGTCATCGAGACAAAGCAAAAGACCGTAGAACACGATGACGATGACGTAAGAACAGCTGGATAGCGCCCGCGCGCGAGATCGACTGCGGTTATTGGGAAGAGTGAAGGTTCGCATTTACGGAAAGCGCGGCACTGACACACCCATTTTATAATAATATCTCCCAATGGTTATTTATATATTATTTTGCTGCAGCTGTCGCGATTTACACTCGTGAAAATAATTATTTCTTCGGCAATATTTCTTTATTAATAAGAAATATTCAATAATATTAAATATTATCATTTAATATTAATTTCATATTTTCATATTTTTTTAGAGTCTATCTGCATCGAAGAATCTCGAGAAAAATAGAGACAGATTCAAGCATGAATAATTCAGTAAAAAATATACATATAAAATTACCTGAATTTTAATTGTAGTTTAAAGTTTTAATTAAATATTGTTGCATTCATTTACAAGCAGATCAGATATCTTAATATCTTAAAATTCCATAAATGCCACTTAATAACGATCAGGAAATGAAAAAACAATTTCACTTACATTTTATTCATAGGTATTAACACAAAAAATTTTTTACTAACATTCATTTAGGCAACGCATGTATACAAATTTTTGCATTATTAACTCACAAATACAGGGAAAATATGTATAAGTGTTTACCATAAAAATAAATAAAAATCCTGATTTCCGCAAAAAATATTTCGATTTGATCTAAATTTCCACCAATTAAATCTTTATCTGAGTGCGTTTTAAGAATAACTCGAAGGAATACTAATTGAATCGAAAGCAATTAAATTGAGACGCTGTTCTGATGTCTCTACGGTAGCGATTTGTAAAGGAGTAACGATTTATAAGTATATTCAATGTAATAAATTAGAGTTCCGTTATTTTAGTAAATAAGTTTCATTAATTTAGTTAACATGTTTCATTATTTTAGTGAACAAGTTCCATTAATTTAATAAACAAGTTCAATTATTTTAGTGAACAAGTTCAATTGATTTAGTAAACAAGTTCCATTAATTTGATTTTCAAGCGATCATGACCTGGGCCTATACTTTAAAAAAAATAAGAAATCGTAAGTTCATCAGCCAATCATTGACGGCCTTTCAAACAAAATCCACCAATCACAGACAGGAAAATAGAGCGTAAGTACTTACGTTCACTTAGCAAGTTTTGAATGTATGGCCCAAGATGTGCATGATTTACTAAGCCCAAATACAAAGATCAAAAAGTACACAGGGATGGGAAGCTGTTACCTATTTTTCCGCACACACACGCACACACAAACACGAAATCAAACAAAATTGAAACCATACAGAGATGTTTTGAACTCGTATAGCGACACTTAAACACGATATATGACGCATGCTAAAGTCACGGTGTTAACGAAAAAATTGATAAGATTTTAATTTATTAATGTATTTTTACAGAATTAATGAAAAATGATCGAAATTATCGATGCAATTGAAAGAGAATAAATGATTATTCAAGGAGATTTTAGTTTTATTTCTATATTCAAATTATTAACTTCGTCATTTTAATATGCTAAAGCTAGCAAATAAAGTGCAAGGAGAAAACGTTTTATTGGGGAGAACTAAACCAAATTGGAATTAATTTTCACGCATGTTGCTAACATTAAATATTAGAAGGCATCATTCACCGACTAATCAATTGCTGACATGTGAAGCAATAGATTCTATGCAATGAAGAGAGGTGAGTTATTTAATAAATTCTTCGTGACGCTATGGAGAGAGACCATCTGATAAAATTCTGAATTTTTTATACCTCGAATGAATTTAACAGGAAATAAGTAATTAAAATCTATCGGAGAGAAATTTTAGTTTTAAAAATCCACTCTAAATTTATGAGTACGAAAACTTATATTCCGATAAAAGAAATCGAGATAAAGCCCAACAATACAAAATCCATTCCACACCAATAAGTAATCAAAAAACCTTACCACATGCAGTTTTCCACCATAATACTGTCCTAAAGACTCCACATTTCCTCTCAATCTAATATTTCCATTTACATATATAGCTAATTAGAGTCAATTTCAAAATTTATCTAGAATTGTCATTCCGACCTTCACGGAGCGTTTAAAGTAAAAGAAAACAAGATGACTTCAAAAGAAATTTTTAAAATAATATTATTCATTAAGCCGCAATAAATTATTAATTCTATCAAGCACCTCCTAAAATTGAATGGTGTAGGATTTTTCAAAAAAAAAAGTCAAGAGTAGCTCATAAATTACCCGCTCATCAAATGTGAGATTGAAAAATGAAGAGGCGATTACATGCATCAAATCTTATCAGAAAATAAATATGAATGGCACACATTTGAATTCAAGCTACTCGATGGTCCGCTGTAATTATACATTTTCTTTGATGGCACATACGAAGTTAATTTTTTAATAGTACCCATTTTTACAAGCGAGTTAAAATATTGCCGTAGAAATTATAAGCAATTCGTCAGACGCCAACGATTTCACGAAAACACTAAATCATACATTTTCTCGTCCACATTTTCTTTCTAAAACATCGTCAGTTTTCTTACATTGAAAAATGACGGCCAATGACAAATTACGGCTCTTAATGAAACTTTACAGGCAAAACGTGGCAGGCAATAATTTAGCACAGTAAATGGTCGATAAATGGCAAGCATAAACCTAGCACAGTAAATGAAGCCACAAAAGTGGTTTTTCTTGTTGCTGGGAATATTTTGCTGTGGAAATCAAGGCCGAGGAGTGGAAGATTCGCCGATGATTCTGTGAGTTCCAGATGGAGAAAAACTGTGATCTTCACCGGAGGATTTGAAGCCGTAGGAATACACGAGGCCTGCGACAGCCCCGCCCAACATGGGGCCGAACCAGTACACCTGCTTAGTGATTTAGATCGTCCACATTTTCTTTCTAAAACATCGTCAGTTAACTTACATTGAAAAATGACGGCCAATGACAAATGACGGCTCTTAATGAAACTTTACAAGCAAAACGTGGCAGGCAAGAATTTAGCACAGTAAACGGTCGATAAATGGCAAGCATAAATCTAGCACAGTAAATGAAGCCACAAAAGTGGATTTTCTTGTTGCTGGAAATATTTTGCCGTGAAAATCAAGGCCGAGGAGTGGAAGATTCGCCAATGATTCTGTGAGTCCCAGATGGAGAAAAACTGTGATCTTCACCGGAGGATTTGAAGCCGTAGGAATACACGAGGCCTGCGACAGCCCCGCCCAACATGGGGCCGAACCAGTACACCTGCTTAGTGATTTAGAATGATTTAATATACTATAGCACAATATACTATAACGAAATAAAATTTGGTATAATTTAACATAATATAATATAGCATAGTATAATATAATATGATATAACATAATTTAGTGGTATTAGCTTTGAGTTGGCCAGTCGCCGCTTACCTATGTCTATTATCTCGTTATCAGGTCGTTAGCAATAAATTACTCGTACATTGAGGACGGTTAATCTATTCGTAGATTAAGGCAAAAGTCTTTTTCTATGGAAGGAGTAAATGAAGGACAGTAAATGACAGTTAAGAAAACAGGAACTGAAGCACCCGAGGCACCTGAAGCACCTGAAGCACCTGAAGCACCTGAAGCACCTGAGCTAAGCACATTAGAAGCGATCCTGCTTCCCAATTTCGATGTCGTTGGTGGTGAGAGCGCCCTTAGGCTGCCTGAAGAGGTACGAGTACAAGATCCCTGCCAAGGCACCACCGCCCAATGGGCCCACCCAGTATACCTGTGTAGAAAAGAAGGCCTTGCATGCGTAGTTAAACCCAAACACCCATGCCATAAAATTGTACTTATAATGTAAAAGAGTTATGATGAAAAAAAACTACCATTGCCGAAAAACGTTGCATGTTGTGTTATTGTTGTTCTACTTTTTCGATATGAAAGTTATGATGGAACCCAAGCAGCCACACCACTATATTCCTAATGCGTTCGCACCTGCGCTGTATCGAACTTTTAAGATATAGTAGTAATGAGGGAGATTTTAAGAAGTACCGGTTCCCAATTACTTACTTCAGAAAATTTAGCACGGACTGGAAAGCATAGCATAGCATAGCACAGCATAGCATAGCATAGCATAGCATAACATTGCGTACCATCTTCTGCATTGAAGAATAGGCCAGTAGACCTGTGTCGATTCTTGTATTTTTTGTGACTTGTCCACGGATCTAAAAACTGGCCTTTTGCCAAATTTTTTCAACTGACTGAGGTTTTTCATTATCATTGGACTTTCACTAGTTCCATAAAGTGCTGGGCATTTCAAAACAGTCATATTCATTTCAATAGCATGAATAAGTAAGCTCAGATTTGCATAATATCACCTCAAAAATTACATGAGAATATCGTTGTCCGATATAGAGAAAAACAATAATTTCCATGAATTAGCTTATTACCAATTCCGATTTCTTTTTTACTTGGATAGTTAGATCTTAATTCAGATTAATTATTCATCACTTAAGATTTCGTGTAACATAGTACTTAATTTAAATAAATGAATACGCTCACATGCAGACATATATAAAATCCAGTATAAGTATAAATTCTAATATATTTGCTAATCCGTAGTCCCAGATATTAACGGAAACAACATATTTAAAGTATAACATATGAAAATCGAGGCATGAAACTCTTCTATGAGAAATAAGATTAATTTTTTGCGAGAAGCAGGCAGCGAAATAGACAGTTCAAAACTCAATCGTCGTGCGATTCCGACAGTCTGAAATAAGGTTGAAAGTTAAAAGTTCTAACAAAAAATTACAATTTCCCATGACTCCGCTGACTTGAAATTTTTTCTGATCCAATTTACAGACATTGTCTGCAACGGGCAAAGAATGAATAAATTTATTATTTTTGTGCTGTAAAAACTTCATGTCTTGAAGTTTTAACTTCATTTTCTATATCAATGGTCATTCATCACAATATCCTAGTTCAAAAAAATCCTAATCCAAAAAATCCTTGTCCAAAAAAATATCCTTGTCCAAAAAATATCCTTGTCCAAAAAAAATATCTTTGTCCAAAAATTCCTTGTCCAAAAAAATATCCTTGTCCCAAAAAATCCTTGTCCAAAAATTATCCTTGTCCAAAAAAATCTTTGTCCAAAAAAATCCTTGTCCAAAAAATATCCTTGTCTAAAAAAAAGTTCCCGCTCACCCTGTGGTCGTTCCAGTAGTCATCACCCATCATGACGGCGGGGCCGAAGCTGCGTGCGGGGTTCATGGAGGAGCCAGTCAAAGGGACCTGCATTGTAGAGCATATAATTAACTAAATGAAGTTATTGGGTTTGCATCAGGACCTTTAAAGTAATTTAGTTTGCATTGAGATATTAATATACCGATATATGTGCATTAAGACTTTAATACACTGATATATGTGTGAAACGTCAGCAAAGGTTATATTAATTTTCTATAACTAACTCGCACCAGTAACGGTAACGCTATTTATGAATGAATTCTTACATTGTGAAAACAGTAGAATCAATAAAATTTGTATCTGAGGCTCTTGCGTTTTATCAACAGTTTTATTTACAGTTTTAATCACTACGTGCTTTCATAAACATGGGATTTTGTATCCAACTTTCTCACCGCGAAGAGATGGCATGCAGTGATGGACAGCCCAATGGCCAGAGGCACGGAGCCCTTAACATCACTCCTGCGGTCATCACACGCACCGAACACCGTCAGCACCAACACAAATGTGATGAAGAACTCGATGCCGAAGCCTTGGCCGCCCGACACCGCAGAGTTCAGGCCCGTGTTGCCGAGCGAACCAACGAACGATGATGGCACCAGACCCTGATAATACGGAATATATCAGCTACTGTAACACTGACACACAGTATATTACTTCGATGAGATACTTCCGGACTATAAAAGTATTTTGAATCCGGACTATAAAAGTATTGCAATTGAATTATATTTTTAAATAATTATATATTTTCATTCAGTGCTTGAATAGTAGGTCATACGAGGTAACGAAGGCATTAGCAATAATTAATCAAATTCAAAATTGTTCAATTATTGCAGGCCTTTGTGAATTGAGCACGATCGAATAAATAAATAATTTGATATTTAAGATCAGACTGGTCGTTGGGCAGTGGTCTAAGTTTATAAACCAATAAGGTAAATATAGTGAATAAGAATAACTTAGGTAATGTCTCAATCGATTTGTGCACACATCTCATATACTAAGCCCTAAGCCTAAGGGAATGTCTCAATCACAAAACAAAGAAGTTCCTGGTTGAATGGAAAATGCTTTATGTTGTGAAGAAAATATACTTGATGGCTAACCCTTCTAGTTTTACTGGCATGTTGCAAGCTATACTGTCAACTGTCGCTCGGTATATACACAGATATGCTCGGACGTTATACAAATTTAATAAACATCTATAACATCATTTTTATGGAAAAATTAACCTAATTTGATTACTTGATTATTTGTGACCGAATTACTCAATCTAATTGAGCTTACTCGATTTAATAACAGTGATTGTACTAACGTAAAGCAAGGCAGCTCCAGTGATGGCTCCGATGCACTGGAAGATGATGTACAGCACAGCTCTGACCACTGATGTGCACCGTGCCATCAACATCCCCAACGTCACCGCGGGATTGATGTGACACCCCGAAACATGGCCGATCGCCTGGAAAACGCGATGTTAGTACACGTTAGTTCGTTATTTGTTAGTACACAAAAAAAATACTTTCTGCCTAATTAAGCATAAATTAATTTCGAACTTTTTTTGTTCGAAGAGCTGGTCTGATTTTTCGAGTGCCTAACTCGTTTAAAGATAGAAATATTTTTTTGTAACCTGTATTCAATAATTTCTAATTATAATTTTCTTGTTTTATTAATTCTTTATTAATTTGCAAATAGTTCATGGGACAATCATCATATCCTTTTAATCCTAATGAATAAATACGACTTCATTCCGCGACGATGAAAAAATTTCATCACCTATTCATCACATATACTGACAAGACAAGCTGTGTGATGAGACCTCTCTGTCCTCAGTAAGGACAGAGACCACCACACATGTGTAGGTTAACCCTGCTGGCGCACCTGTTAACCTTGTATGGACACCTGTTCTTAAACACACATTCGATCTCCAGAAACATATTCTCTCAAAACTTCCAGTATTCTATGACATTTTAAATTTTAAAGAATAATTTTTTCTCTGAGTTACATAGCAATAATAATAGTGATTTCAGCGTTGATTAGGACGTTGGACTTGTTGCTCATTCTTAACATCGCAGAACATTCGCAGCTCGTTGCGGTCTCGATTACGCAAATCACTGCTCCAATTCTGCTGTACTTAATCGCCCGGCCGCTTCGCCGATTCTGGCCAGAAACGGTCTCACAGAGCTGTTATCGAACAGGGTAAACTGAAACTGAACTGTAACCACTTGGTAAATGTAATTTCTTACTGGGTAAATGTGCATGAATACCGGAATTTTCAAATTTTAATTGCCATATATTTTAGTTCAACATTTATTTCAAGCTCTGTTTTCACAGTAGAGATCATAATATCATTCATATATATTATGAAAACCAAATAATATCATAATATTCTTTCATTGATACTAAGTAAGCTAAGCAACATCGTAAACACTCATTTATAGACATTTTGAAAACCACATAGCACACATCGCACTAATTTGCTATGAATTTTCTACAACAAAAAAAATATACTTGTAATAACTTATCCATATTCGTAATGAGAAGTGAAGAATTTCTTTAGTAACTGAAAAGCACGTATACACCTTTTTTCAAGTAACGAAACATTATCAAAAATCAATATTATTAAAAGTCAATATTAAGTCGCAAGTTTTGAAAACGTCTTCTGAAATTAAATTTTTATCTTAAACAAGTGAATTCTCAAAATTTACTCTATCTTCCAAATTGTTCTCTAAAATAACTTTAAAATAAGTTGATCCGCAAAAATAAATTTAAATTGCTTTTTATCATCCTATCACTATTTGAATATTTGTCGGCGTTCCTTTATTTGTTATTATTTTTTTTGTTTAATCGCAGTGATTAATTGTCTTAATTATTGTCACTCATTATTAAAAAAACTACCTGACACTTTCATTTAATTATGGCTGAAAGTTACAAATTTCCTCATTCGGGTTTGTTATAAATCTTTAGTTAAAAAAAACGTAAAAATCATTCCTCTCTCAAAAATTGATGGAAATCAATTTATGCAATTAATCTGCAATTAAAATTAAAGAAGTGCGTTCACCAATCCACTTGTCTTCATCTATTCACATTGATCTCTTGTTGGTTTATTCCAAAGAATACAATCTTGATCAATGTTCTATTCTGATCTACTGCTCATTTCTTTGCGCCACTTCATGGCAGCGAAGAAGCTCGTGAATGTCACATGACGGGTCACCGGCCAAGATTTCCGTGATAAAATATCCACGAAACGATGCCCTGGACGCAAAATATTTTTGCAGGTTACAGGAATTATGTGGGCACGAGGGGCACAGGATGGATAAGGCAGGCCAACTTGACCTCTATCGTGATTACGGCCTCTTTTTAAGAGCTTTTCCAGACCTCTGGGCAGGCTCTTACCAAGCCCCATTTCCCTCCGTAGCTCTTGCTTTCTTTTAGTAATGAGATAAGACGAATATACACGCGAGCATTTACATCGTACTTAAATTTTTTTAAATATTTAATGAAAAAAAGAGGTACCAACTCTTCATATTTTTAGCGATTTTTTCTAAAAACAGAATTCGTTATTCAAGCTGGTAAAGAGTCTACCATAAAATTCAATCAGAGCAAAATTTGTCTGTGAACGCATTTTAGGGAATCAAGAAAAGTTTTTCCCAAAGAAGAATAAGGAAACACAGAATGACTACTATTTTCCTTATCATTGTTCCAGCCTGGCTCGATGAGGTGGCCGTTTGAAATTTTGCCAGGAAAGTTTTTCCCCATACGCTGATAGTGGAAAAAAAATAGAAAATATGATATTTTCATTCTATTTTATTATGTCTTTTTGAGCTAAAATTCTCAAACTACATTTGCATGTAGAAAATTCACACTTTAGGTGCCTCTAGTCGTCGTTAAAAAGTGCCTTTTAAGTTCATTCAAACTTTTTCTGCACAAGTAAACTCCTTGCCCCAAATGTTGCTAAACTAATAGAATTTGCGTATATAATGTAAGAATTAAATAAATTGAATTGCAAGTTTATCTTGCAATAAATTAATGTATTTGCTAAGTTTATCCTGCAAAAAATAACTGGATTGCAAACTTTACTCCTGTACTTATCACTTGATATATTATATTAAAGTCCGTTAAGGTAGTGCGCAATTATGATGCGATATAAGAAAACCAAAAAATTGGCCGTTCAGGAAACAGTGTATGAATGAGGTGTGAGTGGTGATATTTATGTATAACATTATGTGATATATGCACAATTTTATTATGTGATAAATGCACACAATGAATATTTACGTGGCAATACAGAGTGACGTTTATTATAGAAAATGAGAGGTTGCATGAGCAAAATATAGTGTGTCTAATGTAATTAATAATGAGTAAATTACTTGACATAAGTGTTAAGAGGTCTAGCCATGCGCGTTGGTAACACGAACCTTCTAATTCCCAGAGTGAGCATCTGTGCAATTATATGGAGAGCCTCAGTGGCAACTCATCTGTGAAATTGTGCAAACTTGTACACTGGGACCATGCGACGAAGCATGAACCCGTAGCACTTTTATTTCTTAACGTATTAAAAATATATATATATATATAAAAGAATAATATTATGATGATATGAGACGCATATTGACTTTATCGCAGGTAGACTACATTCTGTTAAGATTTTAATTGGAAATATAATCGGGTTTTACACATATATATTGAATTACAAATACAATACCTGGTCCTATTTTAAACTTGCCTATCACTATTATGTATAATTATTTCTAAATAAATGCTAAGTTCGGAAATATTGCACATGAATCTGGGATCTAATGCTAGTAAAAAAAATATTTAACACTGATCATTAACATCATAAAAACATACAAATCTTGCCCCCCCCCCTCTTCTCTAACCAAGTCTAAATGTGCGAGGGTTCGAAAATACGTTTAATTGCATAACCAAATCTAAATCAATATATTTAAATAAATCCCATTACCCTTATTAAACGAGGCCTAAATGAAATTTTATTTGTACATTGTAAGATGATTATATAAAACCGTTTGTATGTGAATCAGATACAGCCTTGCACTCGACAATAATTGTTTATGAAACAGTTAATTAAATGGGCGTTTTAGCTCATTTTCTCATTTTGGAAAAAATGCACATTATGTGCTCGCCATGTCCGTTTGTCTGTCTGTCCGTCTGTCTGTCTGTCCGTCTGTCCGTCCGTCCCTGACCTCAAGTTTTCGTCGACGAGAAAATGCGATCTCTGTCACTCACTGCAGTGAGTACTGAGTTATATTTTTTTTATCGGCGCACATTGAGACGTGACATGGTAACCTTGACTCTATGATCAAAAAGAAGGCGTTTAATAACACATTTGTTCATGTCACAAATATCTTAACACATGAAGGTGAAAGTATTAAAAACCTACAGTAACAGATGCAGCGACAGAAATAGATGCACATGCAGCAACAGATGCAAAATTAGTTCAAGAGCACCAAGAAATGGCTCATTCATTGATATCGTGGCGGCTGGAAAAATTATGTACAGTCCTTAAAAAAGTTTTTATATAAAAGTTGTTGTCGTTCATAAATTGTTTAAAAATAAATTGTACCGTTCACAGTGGAAAATTTTATGATACACATGAATGAACTTTTGTAATTTTCCTGGTTCGTGTTATATACGTACAGAATATGTATTTATGCTTGTAAACACAAAGGGAAAATAAATGTGAAAGTAAATGAAAATAAGTGAAGTAAAAGTGAATTGAATGTTATTTTAAATCGATTATACTAAAACATTTTAAATACCGGAGTTCTTTAGAAAAACTCTTTATATTACCGTTCATTTTTACTAGAATTGTCCATAGAGTTATGAAATAAGTATTAACACAAGTGGCAAAGGCTTCAGCATCAAGTTCAGTGGAAGGACACGTAACGTGTGACTTTGGCAGCAAGTCTCGGACAATAATGCTATTTCTACAGCAGTTTCTAATTAGTCGAGCGATAGAAGGTTAAGATACGCGGCAGAACCATCGATAGAGACTAGAATGTTGAGCCACGCAACATTCAACGTTGGCACCGCAAACCAGAGATTCTCTGCCAAATTTACTCCGTGGCTTCGCTGCACCTTAACTGAAATGAAACTTCCTGCTTCATTCACGTGTGAAAATGAGCGATTATGATTGTAAATTCGACGTTCAATTAACGAATCAGGAGTGGAAAAATACCTACATTGACCGTGCTAGCTGCTGAAAAAGATTTAGGGAAATTGAGAGATGTGCGTATAGAAATCTCTCTTCAACTTCATTACTTTCATATTTCAATGCTGTAAATTTGAAACTAATTTAATTACATATTACTTTTACATAAGAAATCTACGTTTTATACGCGTTATTGGCTCATATATCGCTAAGTTTTTAATTAGCGCTAAGAATTTATGTTGATATTAATTCATATAACTTTACAACTAACTGTTTGGATTGCACATTAAATATTTTAAAGTACATCTTATGGGATCACTCATTAAATATTTAAGTATAAACAACACTCATAGTTTAGTCTTGTTCAGCTATTTCTCGCTGTTTCGAAAATCTTTTCTCATCTCAGCTCGCCTTCTGGCGATTGAAATACAAGGTACCTGACTTTATTTGAGCTTTCAATTTTTAGAAAAAGAAGAAGAAGAAAAGGAACAATAAAATTTATAACTTCATTGGTTACTCCCCGGAATATAACTAAAGATGTTCAAAATTTATCACGAATTCAATTTTTAAGGGAAAATGGGAAAAAAATTCGGCTAAGCTTGTGCCTAAAATTAGAATTGAACAATATTAACTGATGAGTCACTTGGCATCCCATTTTTATGCGATATCCCTTAGCATATTTCATATAAATATATGTAATACATCAACATATATGCAACTTCATCACTATATAAAGAGCTAAATTTATATTTCGTGCGCTGAAATCTCAATTAATATTTCATTTCAAACTTATATCGATAGATACAGCAGTCTTGATAGAACAATGCACTTTGCATAAAAAATGTTGTTATATAACTGATATATCTCTTTTCTCTCTTGAACTCTCATACATAATGCATAATTGATCTCAATGATTTTCATATGTAACTTATGTATAAATGTAATATATCTGCACAATGGTATTACTAGAGCGTCAGTTGCTAACATAGACGCTAGGAGGTTATTACATTTATTTTTTCACTTCAGTTTTGATTCGTTATCAAAATTTTGTCTCAATTCTCTATTAATCAATTCAATTAAGGATTTCTGGCATGAAATTTGTTTACAATAGCGCAGCCCCGCGTAATTGCTAATTATATAATATTCCTTATTAAATAATTTAAGATCAAAGAAAGTATCAAAACGTGTTTTTTTCTTTCTCAAACCGTATTTCGAAGTCCAGAATGATTGCTAATTTTATAATATTCCCTACAAAAAATTTTTAGATCAAAGATAGGATCAAATAGTATTTTTTTCTTTCTCAAACCCTATTTCGAAGTCCAGCATAATTGCTAATTATATAATATTCCCTACAAAAAATTTTTAGATCAAAGATAGGATCAAATAGTATTTTTTTCTTTCTCAAACCCTATTTCGAAGTCCAGCATAATTGCTAATTATATAATATTCCTTATTAAATAATTTCAGATCAAAGAAAGGATCAAAACGTATTTCTTTACCTTTCTCAAAACGTATTTTGCAGTCCAAAAAAATTGCTAATTATATAATATTCCTTGAAAAATAATTTCAGATCAAAAAAAGGATTAAAACCTATTTTTTTCTCGAAACCTATTTCGAAGTCCAGCATTATTATTGCTAATTATTTAATATTCCTTCAAAAATAATTTCACCACAAAAATAATAACAACATTTTTTTCCGCGCGTAAAAACTTGATTTCTCACCTGTGCGATGGTGGCGACTGTGAGGCCGAAGGTGAGCGCGATCCTGGTGGTGTTGGTGACACCCAAGCACGACCCACACCCCACCAGCACCAGCAGGAGGGTGCCTATGAACTCCGCAGCCAGGGCCTTGTATAATCCCAAGCTGGTCAGCTCCTGGGCACCGATGATGTCGCTGCACGAGTTCAGCTTCCCCATTTCCTCAGAATATAATTTCTTTTTGGTTAGTAGTTAAACCTCAGAATAAAATTACTTTTTGGACGGCGGTTAAACCTCAGAATAAAATCACTTTTTGCTCGGTGGTTAAACCTCTGAATAAAATTTCTTTTTGGTCGGTGGTTAAACCTCAGAATAAAATTACTTTTTGCTCGGTGGTTTAAAGGGCAGTTATTAGATTTCTACTAAAAAATTGTGGATAGGTTGCTCTGAAAAGAAATAAAGAGGCATTTGATTGGGGATGATAAACGAAGAATTTTGATTGAGCCATTAAAAATGATTCCCCATGATTACTTCAATTCAATGTATTAGACTAAAACTAAATCAATGGTAAATTACTGAAATATTCGCAAAATTTGAGACGCGAAAAATGTCCTAATTACAATAAATCGAATTTAGTTCAAGTTTTAAAACTTTTCAAATAAAAACCTTGTAGATGTTTATCATTGCGCAAAAAACATTTTCCAACTACTTCTCAGAAAATATTAAGGCTAGGCTTCACACTATTGGAAGAACTGAAATATTAATTATTATCAAACTACGAATTCAAAGTATTAAATGAGTTAAAATTTACCACAACATATGACCACATATCTGGTCATCAACCTGGTAGCGAGTTTTATCTATGAATTTTAAGTATGTGATTCCGGATTAGTCGAAGTGTGATCACTTCATGAGACGAGAGCAGGTGAGTGCTCTTGATCTTCCTCTTAGCGGTCAACGAACGCTAGAACGGGGGTAATTCTGGTCCGATAATTGACATAGCAAATGTAGCATCAAATAATTAATTCAGAACATCTTAATTGGAAAAGTTTTTGATCGAGATATGCGTAATTCTGCTTTCATATTCGAAGGTTTGCTTCCGATCTGATTGGCTTAAGATAAGATAAAAACTAATGGAATTTATAAGTATATATCGTACATGACCGAGTTGATCGTACATGACCGAGTTGATCGTACATGACCGAGTTGATCGTACATGACCAAGGTGATCGTACATGACCGAGCTGATCGTACATGCCCGAGCTGATCGTACATGCCCGAGTTGATCGTACATGCCCGAGCTGATCGTACATGCCCGAGCTGATCGTACATGCCCGAGTTGATCGTACATGACCGAGTTGATCGTACATGACCAAGGTGATCATACATGACCGAGTTGATCGTACATGCCCGATTTAATAGTTGATCGTACATGCCCGAACGTACGATCAGCTCGATTGCACGTGCCCGAGTTAATTAATCGTTCATGCCCGAGCAGATCGTGATCACGGGGCTGGTCGTGCGCAGCTGCCAAGACGAGTGGGAGAGACAGGTTTATGGGAGGGCTTACGGCGCCCGAGGTGAGTAAGACTACAATGGATATCTGCAGGAAGACATACCGATCTTTAATTTAAGTCGTTGAATAACTCATTTTGATTAGTGGCATTGAACAACGCTACTACTACTACTACTACTACTACCACTACTACTACGACGAATACTATTACCTCATTAATCAACATTGATTAAATTTAATTATTAATCAAAATTTATTACTTTGGAGCATCATTGATTGATATTTATGCGATTAAATTGCAAATGCTTATTTGCTTCAGTGGATTACTTTTCTTATTACATGCCTTTGAATTTTTAATCATGCTGAATATTTCCTGGGGTTCTAATTATTGTTTACGTGAGGAGTTCATTAATTTCTAATCCATTTGCATTGTTAATTCATGCACTTGACTAAACATGGGACACATAATATTTATTTATCTCAACACCATCTTCTCGTTTTATTCGGACTTACCACGGAAATAAACGCGAATCTTATAAATAAGCTAAGCGGTCTTGAAAACTAGACGTTAATCATATAAATTAGCGATGTAGACTTGGGGAAAAAAATAGAAGGAAATCTAATAAATTTCTTGGCCTTGAGGGCAGAGGGAAGATCTACAGATTGTAATGGCAACGGCATGTTGTTGAAAATACTGATTTTTAACTGTTACAACATCGTTTTACAAATAATCTACATATATTCATTGTTTTAATAAATAATCTAATAATAATAATGAATCTTTATTTTAGATTACAAGGTAATATTTTAATAACATGATCAAATATTTGTGGGAAGTTTATTACGGGTGTAGAAATCTGGCATTTTATGCCCATGCAAAAATTATTTTTTTACCTCATTAAATGAGGAGAAAATTTCATCTTAGTTGAGCGATTCTATGAAGATTAAAATGAAGTTGAATTTCACAAAAATTTTTGTTTTGCTGTGTAACGTTCACAGTTTCATTGACTGCATTTCCAAGAAAATGTTGATGGCAAGTTTTTCATTCTAGCCTGCACAATTCTGTGTCCAACTCAGTTAGCCTATTTAAATTGTTATTTTTTACATATTCACTTAACTGTCACATATCGTGTTCAATATTATGGTTCTAGAGCTTCGTATAATTTTATACAAAATATATTTCCCAATATCTTTATGCATATCTTAAATGCTATATAGCAATAATCAGGAACAAAATAAGAGTCTCAACTGTATGTTGTTCGTGGATTGCGGGCATTAAAGAGAATAACAATTATGAAAAAATGAATACCAAACGTTTGAATATCAGCAAGCAAGCGATTATCGTTCTCATCCTTATTATGATGGTAATGAAATTGTTTGTGAAAGTTATGATCATTTATGGTACTTGGCTATTACAAAATTTTAACCCAACGTTTTGTAAAAGAATTACAATGAATTACAGAGCATACGTAGAGTACGAATATATCACCAGTCTCTTCGTCAGTGGAATTAGATAATTTCAGTACGTGACATGGAATAATTTCAAGTCTGGCATCTCGAATTCAGTCGAGCGCTTGCTCGATGTGCGTTAGGAGCTAGTGCTTGGTATTTGAAAGTATAAATTATGTTGCCTAGATACAGAGGTGCTGGGATTATGCTGCCTAGATACAGAGGTGCGGATTATGTTGCCTAGATACAGAGGCTGTCTCTTATACACATCTAGATGTGTATAAGAGACAGAGCCTGACTCCTCTGAAGCCTGACTCCTCTGAAGCCTGACTGCTCTGAAGCCTGACTCCTCTAAAGCCTGACTCCTCTGAAGCCTGACTCCTCTAAAGCCTTACTCCTCTGAAGCCTGACTCTTCTGAAGCCAGACTCCTCTGAAGCCTTACTCCTCGATTTCAATTTCATTCAATCAAGTTCGTTGCAAGATTTTCCTTCATCTCATGTTTTTCTTATGTAATCTTGTAAATTTCATGCATTTCAGGGCAACACATTTGCTTGTATTTGAACCAACCAAATTCTTTTTGTACTAAGAATTTAGAAACTAGGGAAATTTAAAGTCGGCGTTATTTAAAAAATTTAAGAGAGGCCGATTTATTCATCTATTCAAAACTTCAAGGTTATATGCAAAATCAGAGAACGACTCAAGTTACACGAAAAATATCAAATCTAAATAATCAAGTTATTAACAAGGACCGTTGTCCCAATTTAAGTTTATTTTCATTTGTAAATTAAAGTTCGAAAAAAAATTCCATTATTTGGATTTTGCACAGATATAGCAGTTATGATAAGCATTAGCGGAAGTAATTGTTGCACTTACATGAAGGAAAGTCAAAGATTATTCTAACCTTATTTAAATTCCCCATATTGATACCCTGTGCTAAAACTTTATTTTTTCAATTGAGCCCATAATGTCGCAGAGCTTTTTAGCGCATTTTCTCATTTATGGAAAAAAATGCACTATTGTGTTCGCCATGTCCGTCTGTCCGTCCGTCCGTCCGTCTGTCTGTCTGTCTGTCCGTCCGTTTGTCTGTCTCCGTCCGTGACTTCACGTTTTCGTCGACGTGAAAATGCGCTCTCTGTCACTCACTGCAGTGAGTACTGAGTTATATTTTTTATTGTTAAATGCCTCTGAGAAATTCAGCTCAGGCGTTCGAAATAATTATTAATCGTAATAATGATCCGTTTATGATTTATATTAAAACCATCATTGTTGGGTGCCACTGGCATCTCTTGTGTTAGTTTAGTTCCAACAATCCTAAAGCGAATATTCAGCCTGATCTTAATCGGACAGCGAATAATCGGCCTAATCTTAAATATTATATCTTCAGAAATTAGGCTGTCGACCGATAAATAATCAATAAACCCTTGGATTAGAGCAGAAGATCATTGGATAATCTGATCCAAGATACAGAGGTGCTGGGATTATGTTGCCAAGATACAGAGGTGCTGGGATTATGTTGCCTAGATACAGAGGTGCTGGGATTTCTATATCTTGAACGAAGGCGTTTAGCAGCACACCATGTTTTATGCTCACTATGCTGAACGATATTAAAATTCTGTTTGAAAATTTTGTATCAGGTGATTTAACGGTCAGATACTGAGCGGCAGTGTAACCATTAGATACTTAGCGACAGTGTACCGTCAGATACTTAGCGACAGTGTACCGTCAGGTACTGAGTGACAGTGTAGCGTCAGGTACTGAGCGACAGTGTACCGCCAGGTACTAAGCGACAGTGTACCGTCAGATACTGAGCGACAGTGTACCGAGCTCTGGGCAGCAGTGTACCGTCAGATACTGAGTGACAGTGTACCGTCAGCTACTTAGCGACAGTGTACCGTCAGATACTGAGCGACAGTGTACCGTCAGACACTGAGCGACAGTGTACCGTCAGATACTGAGCGACAGTGTACCGAGCAGATACAGAGCGACAGTGTACCGTCAGACACTGAGCGACAGTGTACCGTCAGCTACTGAGCGGCAGTGTAACCGTCAGATACAGAGCGACAGTGTACCGTCAGGTACTGAGCTACAGTGTACCGTCAGGTACTGAGCTACAGTGTACCGTCAGGTACTGAGCTACAGTGTACCGAGCATCAGTGTTGTTGCTGGGCACTCAAGGACATATCCTCTGCAGGCGGCATAGACATGCCGTATCGTGCATTGCCAGGCATAATGTTGGCTTCTGCGCCTCAATGTCACGTGTAAACGCGACCGAAATTCGCACGAAAATCAATTATTGATTTAGACTTTGCTAATAAATCCGTATCCTCAACTGCAAGAGCTAAAAAGCTGCACGCTTTTACCGTTTTTAGTTTAACAGCTAACTTGATTTTGCATTTAATTTCTAAATTGTCACCGTTGGTGGATAACTTTGTTTGTTTCAACATATTGGCGTCTTTTGAAGCGCTTTGATTAATAACGGT